TAATAATAATAATAATAATGGAGGTAGGCTGTCGTGATAGCATGTATCTCGACACTTCGACACTGAAGGAATCCCTACCTACAAACCTCATTTTTCCAGCTCCAGAATTGACTGTCCATCTTATTTAATATAGTTGAAGCAGGAAAGAAAAGTAGTAGGGCTCTGAAATATATGTAGGGTTAGGAGAAAGAATCACTGCATAGTTTCGTACATAGATTTTCTTGTTTACATGTGCATTGAATTTGATTTGCCTTAATCTGAATGAATTAAAAGCGGAACAGTTAGACACTGTGCTTGCTAAAATACGAAAACAGGGCAGACTATTTCACACTTTGGTCCACGTGTCATTTGTAGTGATTCTTTAATTGGGAATTTTGGGCCATGCCTGCAAGTTGTTCGTGATGGAATCCAGCTCCTTTTCCCATCTTGTATCAGTTCTACAGTTCTGTATAAGTTTAGATAGTAATACAGGGCAATTTGGGGGGGGAAAAAAAGTCTGTACTGTTCTTCTAGGAAGTGTGTAGAGGAGACTGAGTTGAGCCTATCAAGATAAACAAAAAGGAGACATTTCTGGTCACTTCAGCAGCTATACCACTTGAAGACAGACTGACCTATTGAACTTAATAGACTGACATCTGTGCTTCTAGTTTTGTAGCAAGAAGCTCAAAGCAGGGCTGAGGTTGAGTTGCTGGGGTGTCGAGTGGTAGTTCATCCCATTTGTACTAACTGAGTGCAAATTACCAAGGACTTCCAAAGTGTACAACTTCTATGAAGTAGTAGCACACTGACCAGGACTAGCTTCCTTTTTACATGCATCTGCTATGAAATGCTGCACCTTTTCTTCAAGATGGCTTTCACCATCAAAATGAAAATGTAAACACTAAATCAGCGGGAGTATCACCACAGAATCTCAAGGGTCTTGATTTGGTAAAGAAATACATCTAGGTCACTTGCCTAAAGCGTCTAAGAAACAGTCACTGGGTATATTTACACAAACTAACGATCAAAATACTAAACAAATTGGCAAATGTTCATGTATACTGCACTTTCTCAGGACAGACTGAACAGGACACACGGTTTGTCCCTGCCCTTAGACGAGCAATCTTCAGTGCGTTAGGAAAGCAAAGACCACAACTTCGTGCGATGACAGAACAGGGAATAGCAGGACATGTGGTCTTTCGGGGTTCAGACTGTGATGAAGATTCATATCAACATAATTAAATGTTTTTTGGAGGAAGTGTAATTTAAAAAACAGGAAGGCCCTCCACCCTCATAGGCCCATCGTCCTCATCACAGTGTGGAGGAGATTTGACTTAACCGGTTGCCTAAAACCTTGACAGTAGCAGTAGATCAGCAGCAATATCTGTACAGCCCCTAGATAATGTGAAGGTTTAGGAGATGAATGCTCAGGTGGTGCAAAATGTTCTTAATTAACTGATATCAACAGCAGTATTGCAGCGTACGTTAGTCAAAGAACTACCCCTTAAAAGTGGTGTTATGGCTGATGCACTAAGAAGCAGCTCTTCATGTGAGAGCAGCCGGTATGGAAAATCTTCAGCGTTACCTGCTTGAAACACAATCTATAGCAAGGCTGGACATTGCAAATGCACAGTAAATGCTGAAGTCATGAATGAGCTGGTGATGACTGATGGTCTAAATGCAGGTGAAAAAGACAATGGGATCATTCAGAGATAGGTTAAATTTTCAATCAAAGAATTTACGTTAATCTGCTAAGTTGAATAATTCAAGTGACATTCAAGAGCTTGCTACTTTTTGAGATACCAATGACTGCTTGCTTCCTATCCTGAAAACACCCCAAGAGAACTTGGGTGGCAGCCTGGCATTTCTAACTGTGGGATTGCCGAGGATGCAGGAATAGGAAGTGGGGAAGGGACTCTCCAAATTTTTTTGGCCAGCAAGTCACACGTGTTTTGGATAGAGCTTTGTGAAAGTTATTTTTTGTTTGATCTCATTTTTTATTTCCTATTATATAAGGGATGAAAATACTGACTATTAAGACTTTTGAAAAATACCTAAATATTTTCTTGGAAACTTTTGAAGATTGGCAAGATAATGAGTTCATTAAGTAGTGCACACTTAGCCTGGTTGCCTTCTTTTGAGTTAACTGCTTTCAGTGAATTGGATTTGTTAAGCTATCTGTTCATGCTTTGATGTGCCATTCTTTTGACCAGAGAAGTGGTGGTTATGGGAAGTTACCTTGTAACCAAATCTAGAGCAGAAAATTGCCCTGTCATGTGTACAAAACATTTGTCTCTGTCAGTATTTCTGTAAAGTAGATCCTGTGACCTCTTTCATAATAAACCCCATTGTGTAGCATCTACAATAAAGGCCTGAAGTTCACCTTGAAATGAACTGGTTTTATAGAGTGTGATCAAATAGGACACTGTATTTCTGTGATAGTTCAAGACCTAACGGTGGCCTTTCCGCAACATTTTTCCCCTTAAATCTGTCCACCTTGCCGGTTCCACAGCATATAGCCAGCACCAAAAGAAGAGGTTCGTGTGTATTATTTAAGCTACTGCACACAAAAAATTTTATGTTCTTTCCTTCCTCAAACGTCTGTGCTTATGAAGCCCTGATGTAGGAAATCTTTGACGAACACTGCCATGTAACGTTAAATGTAACGTTATTTGTAATGCTTACGCCCTAGTTACTTGAAATGCCTCGTGGCAGTATGGTTTGAAAGCTATAATATGTTTTGTTAACTTCTTAAAAGGTAATGGAATTACACTGGGTTGTTTTACTCCTGTTCTTCGGAAGTTGGTCTCGCTGCTTCTGCTGGTTGGCTGTGTGTTAACATCATGTTCTTTTTCCACAGAGAGGTGCTTGGAAGATCATGAGCTCATAGTTCAAGTTGAGTCCACAATGGGAAGTGAAAGTAAATTTTTGTTCAGGAAGAATTACGCAAAATATGAATTTTTCAAAAATCCCATGGTGAGTCTCATTACTTAGTTGTTTACACCACAGAGAGAGGGATGGATTGCAATAACATTGCTGGGCACTGTTATGTCTTAAACTTCTATTTTAAAAAAAAAGCGCAACCAACAAACGGAATTCTTTCCAAAGAAATGTTAACCAGTGTTTAAATTCCTTGTACTCTTCTCCCAGCCTAAAAACCTCAAGTGTTTTCAAGTTACCAAATATACTTGTTTCAAAATGGCTATTTTTATGTTGGAGAGTGACCAAGACAGGGAAATCTTTGTTGGTTTAAGAAAAACAATCAGAAGTGCAATTTATTAATTACCTTCAAAATTACTCGATTTGAAGCAAATTGATCGCATAGCATGCAGTATCCAAACCTTTTAATTTCTGACAGTAATAATTAAAAAAAAACCCTCTGGGTAATCCCTAAAGCACTTACTACATACAAGGAATTTCCAGTTTATCGTTATATACATTGAACAGTGTCTCATCTATGGCTGTGCTTTACTAGTGTGCTCTGCCTTCTTTACTGATCATAGTATCTCGCCCTCTCTATGTCCTCATGTATATCCATGCTTGAAAACTATAGTATGTCATAGCTATACTTATTCCTGGATTTGTAAGATCCTTTGAATGTTTGCAGTGTAACTGCTTATTTTGGGGATGATTTTTCACATTTTAACTAAACAACTAAGTTGGAGCGGGCTATTGACATGAACTGATGTCAGCTGGTGCAACCCATCTAGATAGCTGAAGAAGGATAATCCAGAGGTGGGTTAGGTGAGAACAGATTTTGGGTCAGTCAGGCATTTGTGGTGCCAGAGGAAAAAAGATACATGAGGTCACATGAAAACTCATTGCTGAAGTTACTGTGGATGATAAATTCATTCCTTTCCTCATAGACACTAATGCACAGTTGCTGCATCCTCGCATGCGTGCTTGCATGTACATTTGTCATCTGCTAGTGCTTGTTTCAGAGGCTGTGCCTTGACTTACTGTGTGAAACATTTCTGTACATGGACTGTTTGTAATTTTTCACTTCTGTTGATCTTCCCATCTGATAACCTATGAACATCTGAGTGTTGTACAGAAATTTTGGTATCATAGGAGCTAGCACATTCGTTTCATGTGGTATACTTTAATTAATAACAGAGCATGGGAGTAAAACCCAGAATGCTTGGCATTCAGTTCCAGGCTCCTGCAATCAGAGAATAAGTCATTCTTTTGGTGTAAGAATGTGAAGGCTCCCTATCCATTGCGTTAGCTGTTGCCATATGGCACTGTTTCTACTCAAGAGAGGCTGGTAAATGTTAGCTTTCATAATTCATTGTGCAACTTACCTGGCAGAAGGGTGATTCCTCTTCAGCCCTTTATGCCCTAAAGACTGAAATTTATATTGCCTGAAGAGTGATGAATGTTCTAAACTAGAAACATTTTTGTTGTGATTCATCTTGTTATAATCAGTCATTGTTTTATTTCAGGCATTTCTGCACGTCTTCATGCTTCAAAAAATGTTTAAAAACTTCAAGAATGACTTAATGTAATTGCTGTGTGTAGTAAATTCAGTGTACCGAATCATATAGGCATTTTAAAACATGGCAAATGAAAAGGGGAACTGGAGGAATAAATCTGACGTCTAGTCATCGATGTAGCAGTCAGAAAACTGTCTGACCTTTGTCATGCAAAGATTCCGTATGAATGAGATATTGTACCGGATGCCTGAAACCGAAAAGCTCTGTAGAAGCACCTGTTTATGTGTTAAACAATATTTGCTTCTGTGTTTGTGGGATGGGGGAAAGGAGGTAGATGTCTGCTTCGAGATTATTCAAATCTAGCATGTGAAGCAGGGCATGCGCCACAGAGCCTCGTTATTGCACAGTTCAGTTCAGTTATTTCATTTCATGGAATGTATGCTGACCTATCCTTACAAGAAAAAACACTGGGCTCTGTTATGTTACCCTGAAATACAAACATATAGGGATAGATTTTGCAAACGGCTTTTCTCTTGACAGATTGAAGGGTTTCAAGCCCTGAGCATAACCTGGCTGTTGAACAACCAAGCGAAAGCATCAACAGTCACACATGAGCTCTTTCTCATAATTAAGGTCTGCGAATGGCACTTCGTTTGGAGCCTCCTGAGGGACTTAGCAGGTTTTAGGGTCAAGCAGATACAGCACTGAAAGAGAGTGCTATCAAAGGTAAAGGTGTACAGACTGGAGATCTTGCAGCATCCCCACCTGAGACATCTTTTAATGCATTTGCATCTAGCTTACCCCTGTGAGGGTAGAGAAAACTTCTTATTCCTCCTGCTCTGCGTTTTCCACACGGCAAGTGGAGTTACAGAGAGTTTGTTCGCTGAACAGCCTTTCTGGGCAGAGCAGGAAGCCCAGAAATTTGGTGGCAGAATATGCAATAAGCAAGGAGTCACTGCATACCCAACCTGCAGGACCTTTATCCTGTCTTTTCCTAGAAGGTAGAGGCTGTTAGAGATCCCCAAAGGCCCCCATTTGAAGAGGAAGCGATGGGAAAATGCTCTTATGAAATGCTACATATCAGATATTTTAAAAATCCACATTCTGTCTGCATGGGCATTTGGTGAGCAGAAGGAAAGGAAGAACTGCACTTGAAAGCCCTAGTATTACTTTCTGTGTCAGGGAATCTCCCAATTGATTTAGAGTGATAGTTTCAAAAAATTAATGACCAGAAGAAAATTCCACTTGCTATGTAAAAGTGTTCAAATATAATGTGACTTCCAATGGTCTTCTCTTTTTGTGTCTAGAATTTCTTTCCAGAGCAAATGGTTGCCTGGTGCCAGCAAACAAATGGCAGTATCCCACAGTCCCAACTTTTGCAGGTACTGTAAGTTATCTGTATGCACAAAGAAAGTTTTGGAGCTGGAGGGGAGAGGTTGAGAGGAAGGAAGGGAGAATTCAAAGGTCTGGAAATTGCTGGTCAGAGAAAGATCAGTGTAGTGAGTTAGCATATGGTACTAATGCTGAAAATATCTGACAGAGCTCTTACCCAGTGGCATAGGGTGTAAGTTATAAACACAAAGTATTCATAGCTATGTTCATACATATTTGTTCCATTAATATTCAACTTACTCTGTGGGTACCTGGTTTGGCCACCTAGCATTGTTCCTAAAACAGTCTCAGCAGAAGTGTTTCTAGAAAAACAAATACACCTTATAGAAGGCAAATCATAAGTACTCTTCTGTACTCCACATCATAGCATAGGAGAAACTGTAAAAATGCGTGTGTACATTAGAAGATGGGCTTGAGATGTGAGAGGTCTTGCTTTTGTTTTTGTGTCCCATGTTTGTGCCTGTGAGAATTAACACTAAGGACCAACTTCCTCATGGATCAGCCAACTAGCTGCTCTTTTATATAGAAAAATAATTCCCTAAGAAGTAAGTGCAGGTAATTACAGAAAATTGTATGTAGTATTTGCGAAGTAATCCCGTTTAAAGCTCCCCAAGTTAAATTACAGGTGTGTGTGCCTTCTGCATATGTGTTGGTAGAGTTGAGTAATCTGCCTGGCAGTGGCACGTGCACTGAGTTTATACTGAAGTTTTGATGTTGCTGTACAGTTTCTTGCTTGCTCATGAAGGAACTGTGGTGGTGGCACAGTTGGTTGGCCTCCAAGGATGGTGCCGAAGAGTGGGCTACCTCTCTGACCAGTAACTCATTCACTTAAATCTGACTCTCTGTTTAAATACAACAAGTTTCCACTGACTTTTGAACCAGTGCACTCATTTTGCCCCGCAATCACTTCAAAATCCGTTAAATACTAGCTCACTGAGAAGAATTTAAAACGTTAGCTTCCACTCTCAGCTGGGAAACGAAACAAAAATCAAACCAATTTCTGGAATTAAAAATGAAAGTCACGTGCAATGAGGTTGCAATCAGGAACCAAAACTGGCATGAACAGGCATTGCCACAGACTGGTAGGAACAGAGGTGTTCACACCTTGGATACTTTTTCCTGCAGTGCAAGTGGAGAATCGAGTTTGCTTGTTAACATGAGCAGCAGGACTCCCTAAAAGAGTAAGATGTTCTTGAAGATGGAAAAGTTTCGAACCTAGGGTAACTCAAACAGTAGGAAAAAGGAAAGGAAAATCTTACAACCTTTTGAGATACAAGAGCTTGCTTCTGGGAAGGCTCAGTTAGGTACAGTCCTGGAGAACCATAAGTCACGGGGGTAACAGCGTGAGAGGATGATGTAAAGAGGATGGGTACATTCTCTTTGGTTCTTTGTTTAACCATAAAAAACAATCTTCCTTAAAGCATTTATATTAAATTCCCCTTTCCTTTCAAAAAACATACAGCCATTTTTCATAATTTCAGTGACAGTTGTAATTTGTTGAAGGTAAACTTCCTGCAGTCTGGTAGTCATTAAGCGTGTTGCATCTGAGGCCACCTCAAACATTGAGCAAGTGCGCTGTTTTTTTAATTGCACAGAAAATAGGGAAGAATATTAAACATAATCTCACAATATCAAATTTTTCATTAAGAGCTTAAGAGCTGGTATTTTTAGTCTTAACAATTGCATTAAAAACAGTGGGATCTGTTTTCGCTAGTGTCAGCCTGGCACAGATATGCAAAAAAGCTTGCATCTTAGTTTACTTTTGGCTTATCTAGCTGGACAGACAGAATATATTCTCCATTTGGTCCTTCCCTTTCACAGTTGAGAAGTGGATTCATAGTACAAATAGCAGGAAGATGGGCTGTTCTTTTCCATTCTGTTAGATGAGATGGGGAGGAGGACTGGAAAAAAAAATTAGGTTTTAATGCAACTAAGAATTCTGATACAGGGCACCGATTTTTTTTGTTTTTTTCCTGTGGGCATTGTCCACCAAATAATACCAAAACACAACTTTCAAGAATTGCAGAGGCATCTAGGTCAACCAGGTTTATGCATTTTTCTTCCTGCTATTGAATTTATTAGGAGTTTGGCATTTAACTTAATGTGAGCAAGCCTTCCGTTATTTAAAAATCTGGCCCATTGTAATGAGGGAGCAATCCATCAGTTCACTAACCATAGTTAATACTTCCTTCCTTTGATGTATCGCAAATCAAATTATTCCATATGTGGTCCCTCATTATGCTAAGAACTTAAATACTTCAGGATCTTGGAGTCTCGTATAATTGCTGACATTTATTTGACTGCTCTACGTTTCATTTTGAGTTAAATATTCTGTCATACCTCTTGTCTTGGGACAGGTACATGTGCTATATAAGACTTTAATGTGGGAAATCCTGAAATAGGCTGTTCCCATACTAAAACTTTGGGATAAAGTTGCAGATTTTGGCCAATGTTTCCAAGTTAGACTAGTTGGCAGAATTGTTGTGACAAGGTATTATTTTCTCTTAAGAATTAATAAGCTAACTTTGCATCACTTGAGGACAAGTGCAAGAAGAATGGGGATAGAGAGAAATGGTTAGCCTTTTGGAGTTTGAAGTATTGACACAGAAAACAGGAAAATGTCAGTGGCAGGAGGAGTTAGCCAGGTAGACGTAATGGGAGGAGCAGGAATATCCATTTTGATTGTAAATCGGTTTAAACACCTAGGTTAGTTTAAGCATAATGTGAAACTGCACCCGAAGTTCAGCAAAGTGATTTGCCATTTTGCTTCTCTGTTCTGCAAATACAGTGACAATTTTATGACCCATCTGTAGAACACAATCCTCATTTACATTTTCCTCTCCGACAGAACTTTTTAAACTCCAGTAGCTGCCCTGAAATTCAAGGTTTCTTGCATGTGAAAGAGCTGGGTAGGAAATCATGGAAGAAATTGTATGTGTGTTTGAGGAGATCAGGACTTTATTGTTCTACAAAAGGAACTTCAAAGGTAAGATTGAAAAAGAAGTTGCACAGTACTACCATGTGAAAGAATTTTCTGTTTTTACAGTGGGTATTTTTTGCTGGTTTTTAAATATCTGCACACAATGTTCCCTTTTTTTATCACATAGAAAAGGATAAGCAAGCCATGATCAAATGACAATCAAGCCCTGGGCTCTCAATTCATGAAAATAGCTATATAGCATTGTTATATAATAAAACCAAACTAGCCGGACAACATAATTGTGGCTACTGAAGTCGTGCTAACAAGGTTAGCAAGAGAAATCATGCTCTCCAAGCACAAGGTTCATGAATTTAGTTTAAATGATACCTTAAACAATATTTTATATTATCTACCTTTCAGATTTCTCAGGAGCAATGTAATAGGCTATGCCATTTTTAATGTGATATGTTTGAATAAGTATTTTGTCAGCTTCTTGTGTAAAGCACCTTCTGCTAGTAGGCTGATACTTAAAGGGTGACAAACCATGTCCACGTCAAGCTGCCCGAGAGAGGAGTGCAGTGTTCATACACTGCCCTCTGTTGGAGGTTGGTCTTGAGAGACTGCAAAGCTTGCAGCAAGATCTTCCAAAACCTTACTTACCTATGATAAAACACGTTATTTCCTCAGGAGCCAAGACATTTGCAATTGTTGGCTGACCTGGAAGACAGCAATATCTTCTCGTTGATAGCAGGCAAGAAGTTGTACAATGCACCTGCAGAATACGGATTTTGTATAAAGGTAATTTTTCTCATTAAGTTCTTCCAAAGTTCAAGACGGTGTTGGTAGCTCAGGGTCCCCCCAGCCCCCAGTTAAATGGGGTCTGTGTGTAAAACTCTGCAAGCATTTCTGTCATGAGGACTTGATCTTTAGTGTCTTTCATTTGGCAGGCACGTCCTGTGAATCTTGCCATCGTTTTATGTAACACTTTTAACACTTTATCTGGTGCTCCTTTGGCTTGGGAAATGTCTGTGCAAGATCAGCTCAGTGCTGAAGCATGGTGTGCCCGTGAAGTGGCCTTGGTTCACCTCACAGATGAAATTTTTTTTCCAAGTACTCTAATTGAATAAGAAAGTTTCTCTGGACAATGAGCACCAAAACTATATAGCAACAAAGGATCAAGCTCCGAGCGGGTGTAATTGTACCATTATTGTGGGCCAGAGGTTTGCATTTATTTAAAGGAGGAGTTTGTCTTGGAAAATGAAAAAAGAATAAGCAGTTGCTTTTGAGGATTTTAAAAACTGTTGAGCTGATGGATAGGTTTGGAAAGTATTTCAAAGCTCCATGTAATTTTCTGAGAAGAAAATAAGGCTGGCAGCTGGTTTTATTGACAGCAGTGAAGTAGTCTCCTTCCTAGCAGCCGTTCCAAGCTAGACAACATGGGTTTGCCTCAGAGAGTACAGACCGGCTGTGGGACAGATCCTGAACTGATGGAAGCAGATTTTCAGTAACCTTCAGTTACGGAAATTTTGGTTCTTCATCTCAAAATGGGGGCTCCTAAAACTTTTCACAATTTAAAAAAAAAAAAAAAACCCGCATGCCTTGGTTCTGGTTCTAGCATGGCCTGAGTACCTTGTTCCTATAAACTGCCAGAACTGCAGGGTATTTCAAAGCAGGCACTGACGTTTACCGTACTGGACCCAGCTGAGAAAGTGATTTCTTCCAAAGCATGCTCAGCTTCTCCTGAGCTTGAAGTCAGGGTGGTGTGAGCTTTTTCTGGCCAGTTCTTAGACTAATACTGTACCTGCCTTTGCTCTGCAATAAACTTACAGTGTTGTTGGTTTTCTACTGAATGTAGCTGACTTCCCTCTAATATTTTATAGCCCAACAGAGTGAGAAATGAAACTAAGGAACTGAGGTTGTTGTGTGCTGAAGATGAGCAAAGCAGGACGTGTTGGATGACTGCCTTTCGACTCCTCAAGGTACCTAATCTCTTCTATGTGAACAGAGCTACACCTATAGTTAAGTTGCATTTGTTGTTTTGTTCGTGAGAAAATACCTATATGTCCTTAAACATCATCTGCCTCCAAAATGATACAGCTAAGAGCAAATGCCAGGTAGACCTGTCCCTCCTAAGCTTTTAACGACAGGACTGAGCTCAACTCCTTCCACATATGAATCAAATACAATTTTAGTTCTGAAGCCAAATTTATGATATGTGAATTTAATCAAAAAACTGTTTAACAAGGTATTTGCAAGTTATCATAAAGCTAAAGAAAATGTTTTGATGATGGTAAGTGGTTATCTTAACTAGAACAGGGTGCTATCTGGAGCCTTTGCAATTTTTTCAGTTTTCTGAAGGTTCTATTAAAAAAAGTAACGAAAATAAGCAACTCTGTCTCTGGGTGACAGTTATTCATATCTGAGAGCAAACAATGAGATTTCTTGATAATATGGTAGGAGGCTTCACCATGTTTTTGAAACAAAATCAGCATGGAAGGAACTGAGGAGAAAGTTGACTATTTTGTGCTCTTACAAGCAGAGAACATGACAAATGTTTGCTACAATTGCCTGTTCCTCTCCCCGTGCAGACTGTCTATCATGCAAAACCCTGTAAGCTTAGGGAAAGCAAATCAGACTCCTAGGCCTGCGGGTAAAAACGCAATGCCCGTTCTCCATCTACATTAAGTAGTCACCTTCCAAACCAGAGCACATCTCTTTGAATGCTCTCCAAATATTATCTCATTTGTTAATTGTAAAAGATTCTGTGTTGCAGTACAGAAATTCCTATTTTAAGCTGTTACAACAGCAGGTGCACTACCCATAGGGTGGGCCAGGATGCAAGAAGCAATCCCAGTTATAAGATACCTCTTTGATTTCTGTGGAGCTGATGCCCCTGTTGGCTATCATAATCCGCTCTCCAGTTACTTTACTTGACTTGACTCATGTTTAATGCAGACTACCAATTATGGTAAGAGTTTTGGTCCCCAGGCAATTCCAAGTGCTTTTTCTCAGCTGTCCTTTACTTGCCGTATTTACACAGAATTTTGCATTGTGGGGAAAGTGCTCAAACAGAGGATCAGATAATTGTAGTGAATTGTGCCGTGAAGGTACCACTTGTTCTGAAGAAATTAGTTACACTGGTCGAGGCACTAATGTTCCTGAATGGCAAGGAAAAACCTTCACAATGTACAGAATTAGCTATTCTTACCAAATATGTAGACATGCATCTTGCTGTGATGGTTCAGAGGAATCTTTCTTTGCAGTGCGACCTGTGGCAGCAATGGTACTGTATGGCAGTAATTTCTATATACTGTAATATTCTGCATATAACATTCACCCTTAGGCAGTTAACACTAGGGGAAAAAAAGGGTTTGTTTTTAAGGAACACTAAAAGATGATTAAAGGTGTATAGTCAGGGAAAATTAAGTCTGTGACTGTGGCCGTGACCCTCCTTTTTATTTATCTACCGATTTAGCTTTCCATAGTCATATATTACCCTGTTTACAAAATTATATATACCATTTCAATTAGAACATTCAGTAAGCAGTGTTGCTGTACTTCAGCACTGTGCCTCTAGGGAAGGCACTGAGTAGGTGTTTTCCTACCATCCTAGTTACTGGTGTTGCTAAAATTTATCATGTTCAACAAGGAGCATGACTGGAATTCAATCACCTTATTTTTATAAAGGTGAGAAAAGTACCAAAA